AAGAGGGAACAAACTGATCTCACCCTAGTGAGGCCTCGATTATTGAGGAGGGCATGATACCTAGATCAGTGCTGGGCTGTTAAACCAGCTGGGGTGCTTAATTTGCAGCATTTGCTGATATCTATGGTGTAAATACTCTCACCATGGCCAACTTCAATCTACCCATGATGATTTAACTCACAAAATCTAAGTATTTAACAACGGACTCTCAGGAGCCCTCACACACCAGTGACACTCCATTCCCTTCATTTTTCTCACACTTGACATCTTTTTAGCACTTTGTTGCTTATTAACACCCATATCACGTGATGGGCAAGAAAAATAAAAGGAGAGAATAGAGAAGCCGCCAATTTTTCTGTCAGTGGTTCTCAAAGGAGATTGAACAGGGAGGAAGTTGAAACTGCTGGCGAGACGTGTTTATGGATTCCAATTATCCCCATTCTCTCTGCCCCTTGTTACTACATATAATTGAGAGCAGATGCCCTAATCAAATGTGCAAAATACAAATGTACTTTCTGACCAAATATGGAATTGATGGCCACAACCTAGAAATAAAAATGAAGAGAAAGAAGCTATGCTACAACCCTAAGAAGGGTCAAGTTCATCAGATGGCAGAAGGGATTTTAAAAACGGGAAATCACACCACTTTTCTGGGTGAAGTAACAGGGAAAATATTTTCCTATTAATATTTGTCTAAATGTTACAGATCACAGCAGCAGCATGGATCAAAATCTAAACAGGAAAAAGGATACCAAACTAATAGAACAGAAAAATCGTTTAGGAGAAAAACCAATTTTTATCTTAACTCTGTTGGAAACTGGGGAGATGTAGGAAAATTTTATGAAGTTCTGTGATGGTTTGACTAGTGAGAAAATGTCTCACTATCTCTGCCACAGCGAAGGGGTTCATTGAGTGGTGTTTCTGCTGAGACAGAAGAGGAAGGCAGCTGGGGATTCCCTCTCACTAGGACCCTGGCTTGCCATTTCCTTCTGTCTGTACCTAAGGGAGGCAAAGCCACGTGAGTAACACATCACAAAATGTGCTCCTGATAATGGAAGTCAGAGTTCCTACATGTTAAGGATATAGTTCAAAGTAAGCTGTCTATAAAAGCAGTTTTATTTGTATAAATAAATGCTTACTGAAGTGAGTCCCATTCTTTGTGACAACACTGGGCTGATCCAGTTTCCCTTGCTGGTAAAGCTCAGGAAGGGGCAGGAAGGAATATCCAGCTTTGCTCTGTCACGTCGGCTTACTTACTAGGCACATGGCACTCCGGGACTTTTAGAGGCTACTCTAGCCAACAGCTGTAACTTTAGCTTAGTAATAAAGTTAAGTCATCCGAACTCAAGCCATATAGTAGGAACATTAGAAAAATCAAAAATATGTGAAGATGAGAATATGAGAAAAATATGCATACTTAGAAGTGAAACAAAACCATCACAATCATTCTCACGTATAGACAAGCAGAAGGGAAGGAATGGAGGGGCACTCTCATTCTGTTCAAAGACAGTGCAACTTGGTGAAAAAGGAGCCTCTGATACTTAATAAAATAAATAAAAACATGCATATAAGCCAAAGTGTAGCATTTGGGGCTCACTACTTGTTTCAAAACCTGAGGGGAGCCAAAGAGACAGATTTAATCTTAAGATATTCTAAATCACTCAATTAACCAACCCAAGGAAAATATAATTACCTTCTTTCACTGGCAAATAATATCACCAGCAGGGCTGTGTCACATCAGCTAAAAGGGCAATTTTATGATACAAAAGGGACAAAGTAAGGCAGAAATTAACTATGCCATTATGCCTATGAATGGGCAAAAGCAAGAATGGGCTTCACTGGTGAGGACCGGAGAGTGGGCAGTCCCCTGGGCATCAAAGGCTGTTTGTGAGTCACACCTGGCAGAGGCCAAAATGAAATCAAACAGCGTGGATAGGTTTTGGATTTTAAAGCAGCAAATAGGTTAGAAACGTTAAGAAGTTAAAATTAATGAAAACTCTATAATGTGGATCAAAACATCGTGAAACCTAGCAGAAACTGATCCTTCAGAGTGGGGTGGAGGGAACCAAGAACTGGAATTATCCCCCATAGTCTTCCAAAGTCCTGCTTTCTGAATTTCAGAGGAAGGAAAAAATGCGATGTTAAGAGAACTATAGGATTTACAGGGTAGCAGAGGTACTGACAATTTTAACAAAGGGTAAGAGTGTGCAGCTTTTACAAATACCAAACCTAAAAATAAAATGTCTGTGTTCAAATCCTGACTCTATCACCTATTTGCTGGGTTGTGAGTGTTGGCATGTAAATCTCCTTACCTCTCTGGGTCTGAAAGTCTTCAATAAAATGAAGGAACTAAAATTTGTGATCTGAAAAGTGGTTTCAAGCTTTAAAATTCTAGAAGTTAGAAATTGGGAGAGAATACAGGCCTCTTAGACAGAAAAGCCTTAAACAAAAGGCCTAAAACATCATTTTGCTCTAAAGGGTAGAAAAGACCACTCAGAGAGAGAGGCTTCAGCCCAGCTGTTAGATATATACACAGCCTTTCAACCCCCACCTACCCTGTGCCTAAACCCACAACCCAGAAGGGCACAGCCTGGTCTCAAGACATTCCATCCCTCGGACTATTTGATGACGTCTCTGTCTCCTACCCTCCTACCAGGGTACAATTTTCTAAAAGCAGAGAAAATCCTTCCCAAGAAAATAAACATTCCCAAACAACTGTCCCATTCTGTTACCTATTTGGATTACATAATTACTATGAAGTCAAGACTTTCTGACACACCAAAAAAGAACTCTCAGCCCATAAGCTGAACTGCCTTTTTCTCCACTGTCCAAAGTTCTATAAAATCTCCACGTCCCTAAAAAGCAGTCAACCAGTGCCCACTGTAAGGGTAATGAAAAGCTCACCTCTACTAACAGAAACTCAGATCAAAATATTTTAAGTCTGGGGATATACATGTCCTGTATACAATATTCTTCAACAGTCATAGTAAATATCCCCACTAATGCCTCAAAATGCCCTGCATATGAAGAGAACACTGGGTATTTTTCCAGGCTCTGTGAAGGATAATTCAGACACCTTTTCCTTCCCCCATTTGTAAAACGGGGCTACCAATAATTGGTACCAGCTACCAGGTAAACCAGTAAGCCCTTTCCCCACCCCACACCCACACGAGCTCCCCTTCCAGGAGTGTTCAGGAAAAAAACCAACAACACTGGACCAAGCTGACTAGAATCTCACAGAGCAAACACTAATTAAGGTATCTACTGTATACTTTTCCGACTGATCTGGTTGAGGCAGTCCTTTTATAGCCTGCTCTAACTTGTCTGTCTGGATCAATGCAGAAATATTCAGCAGCAATTTGCTCTTCGTAATTCCTCTCCAGGAATAAAGAGCTAGGGTATTCCTGAAATGCCTCTACTGACAAATCAGAAGGCGTACCTCCTATAATCACTGTACTTTGCTCACTCAGTCCTAGTTAAGATTAAAAGAGATAATGCACCTAAAGTGCTGAGTAAGAACCTGGAACACAATAAACTCAATATGTAAGTGATGTTAGTAATTGTAAAACAAAACAAAAAGGATTGTCCCCTAATGCTTATCAACTTGGAATAAGGAAGACTGAAACATAAGGCAACAGGTTCCAGAGATGTCTGAGCTGTCCTCTAGCTTTCTCATAGTTGGTTACTGCTAGCAATAATGCAGAACTTTTCACAATTCCATGGGTACTCAGGACCCCGACTGCCCCCCCCCACTTCCAATAACTGAGAAATAGCAGAGTGTTTGAAACAATGAGACTAGAAATGCAAAAGACCTTTAAAGAAATTCCATAAAGCCCCTTAGCACTGATCATATGGAAGTTTTGCTAATATAAATGACAGAAATTTGGGAACACTTCTCTGACTCTGTAGGATGGTGGTTCCTGGGTCGATCCTCACATCTGGCTCCCAATAAACTTTACAAAATTATTTCTGCCTCGACAGCCTTAATTTGGGTCAACATCAACTAATTAAAATTTAAAACTTTTGTGCTTCAAAGAATATTATCAAGAAAGTATAATGAATGGCTAGCTGCCCCAAAACAAACAAAAAAAAAATAGGGAAAAAAAAAACCCATAAATTTTTTTTAAAAAGTTCTGCCACAAAAGTCAAACATCCAAATCTGAACAAATGTTGTCAGTGGGAGGAAAGGGTGAATAAAGCACAGAATTTAACATCCTAATGAAAAGATTGTCACCCCCATCATAGACCAGACCCTCAAAGTCTAGTTCTTTAATTTCTAGGCTACGAATAAACTTTTCCCAAGGCACACCTAGCAATCTTTTGTGTTTGGCTTTGCCGTTTGGATATGCATAGTATGTTTTCCTTCCAGATACAAAGGTTTTTTTTTTTTTTTTTACAAGATCTTCATGAAAATAAGGTAAGATATGCAAAAGCATGTTGTACTATAATTTATAACTTAATTTTCTAATTCACTGAGGGCACACACATAATATATCAAGTTCACCTTTCTGGTAACACATCACAGTATGTAGCTATACAGGAAATAAAAAAGGCAGCAAAATGAATAACATCTGCAGTCCAGAAAAGATGGTACATTTGCAACAGTCATGAGACTGTGCAGCAAAAAAAGTGGCCATAAAACTTTTAATTTTTATTTAGTATTATGCCTACTCAACTTGTAAAAGACCAGGCCATGTCACAATCTTTGTAGTTTCTAAACCATGCTTCTGGAAACACAAAGGGCATCATTGTTATGCCTGTTCAACTTGTAAAAAACCAGGCCACTTGACAATTTTTGTAGTTTCTAAACCATACTTTCCAAAATGCAAAGGGCAGGTATGGCCTATAACTTTAGAGAAGAGCAAGTAATGTTCTATCTTTGCTGAATATTCGGCTTGTTTTGCTTCATGTAAGTTTTTATGGCCACCCTCTATTTCCATGAAAGTGTATGTTCTCTACAACTGAAAGTAATAAGTGCAACTTGTAAAAGTCAGGTTTTGTTTTTTTTTTTTTATTTAAGACATTCTAATCAAATAGTAACAGCAGTAAATAAACACTTTGAGAAACAGGCAGGTATCCCCCTATGTCTGGAAGAAAATTAAGTCAAAGTATTCTACATGGTAGAAGGGAGACAACTGCTGATGTCCATGGTTAAGACAATTCAAGGACAACTTGGAAATTTCTAACGCCATTTCCAAAAAAATCAATGGCAAAAGGTTCGGACAAAGCTACTTCAAAGGGTAAAATGTCTATATCTACATTGGTTTTTATTAACAGGGATTGAGTTGCACCTGTATAGCATGACATTCTTGTCTTTAGCCTTAAAGGAAAAGAAAGTCTTTTCCATTTGCACCAGTTTGAAATAGTCCTGAAATAAGGCTCCCTTAAAATGGATTACTACAGTACTCATTCACATGAGCGTTCATACATGTAGTAAAAAGACAAATACAGGATTTCATGGTCACTTTTTTTGGTTGATTTGGTTAATTGCATAAAATGAGAAATAAATACTCACACACATGTTCTGTTTAACAAAACTCCTAGGTACATCAGAATGCAAAGTATAAAATGTCCTAAAATAGACCCTGATCACCAGGCATATAAAATTGAAGTTAAGCCTGTGTCAGCTTGTTTCCTTCCACTTGTCCAGGACTCCTATGTGGAGCTTTCTCTACCACCAAAGCTTGGACCTTTGATCTAATGGAAAGGAACCTCAGAAAGGCAAGGCGTTCTGATAAAATGCTCTTTCAGCCTTTACTTGGGACATTTTATTTTTAACGTGAAAAAACTGGTCTTGGTCAGCCTTAGGAAGGAAAGCATCACTCAGGTGAAAATATTTGGGGAAACTTTAAATACCTAACTACCTCACACACATTTAAGTTAGATTTACTTCAGCTGTTCTTAGAATTCCTCGTAGTTATCCAGAGCAGTCAAGTTTGGTTCTCTTTCACATAGCTGCATTCGGAGATACTCTATATGAGGCATGGTTAGAAAAAGAGAAACACTTACACCTGGAATTTATATTCTTCCAAGTAATCTTTTAGTCTTGTTGGTAAAGGCAGTCCCCAGATGGCACCGGTACATTTGTTAATGGTGAGTCTACAGAGATGCTGCAGAGATGGTGCTGACATATAGAGCGGTTTGGTCAGATAAAGGTGAACAGTTCCATTCCGAGGGGCTTCTGGGCCCGTCCGCTTATCCTTGCACATCTGAACATAGTAGTCGATCAGATGAACCACACTGTCAAATTGTTTAAGCTTGGACTTGACACATATGATAGAATCCAATCTGAATTTCCCATCCTGGTATTCGATTCGCAGATTAGTTGGTCCAGCTGATGTTTTAACAGATATTGTTAGTAGGTAGTCTGAATGTGAACTATCTCTAATCAAGAAAGTTCCTTCTGGTGCCTCTTTTAATTTCTCTTTGGCTTCATTAACAGTCATACTTCCCCAGTACCATCCTGAAGTTTTTGTTCAAAAAGAAAAAAAAAAAGGGTAAAACAGTTATTTTAAGAATTTTTTAGAATACGGCAAGTACTCAGCAATAATTTTTCTAGCTATTTCATTAACAGTCATACTTCCCCAGTACCATCCTGAAGTTTTTGTTCAAAAAGAAAAAAAAAGGGTAAAACAGTTATTTTAAGAATTTTTTAGAATACGGCAAGTACTCAGCAATAATTTTTCTAGCTATAAAAAAAGGTGCATGAGTGAAAGTTTATCAGGAACTACCACAAATACTTTTGATATGAATTTAATGAAAATCTGAGTCCATTTTATTTTATGAACACAAACTGTGAGCCAGTTTTCTTTCTTTTCTTAACTTCTGTAGCTCTTCTTTAAACTCTTAAGATTTTCTTCTAATAAACCAAAAGAACATTTGGAATATGACACACTGGCTGACAAAGCATGATGTTTTTAGTACTATTTAAGTGAAACAAGGATTTCAGTAAATTAGAAATAAATCAGAAGTTAGAAATGAAAGCCATGCCCTTAAAAAAAGTGGCAAACCCAACTCCAGTCATTCCAATAGCAGTCATTCCAGTAGAGTAAAAACAGAAGCAACTTTTTTGGAGGGTTGTCGCCCTCCTTCCCCAAAAGAATCTGCTAATGGCTGCGTGTCTCTCTTCGAAGCCCTAGAAAGCATTGCTGTTTACTTGTTTCAAAGCACAGCTGTCGTACAGTAGCTTCGGTTTGCTGCTTTGATTACAATTACCTTATCAGGCACTGAGAAATGGGAAGCCCCAACTGATAATTAGCACTTGCAGTTTACGATCTTCGCTAACCTCCTCTGGGCTTTGCTCTAATGCAAATCCAATCAACAAGCGTCGGTCTCCCCCGCATTCTGGATTTGATCTGCCTGCGCTATCTCCCCGGTCCATCCGGTTTTCAAAAGTGACTCAAAGACATTCCGCACTGAAGAAGTTTCAACAATGTGCTCCCCCCACCCCCGCCAAAAATGAAAAAGAAAAAAATTACCGGGATCCTTGCAATCTGCCGGCCCCGCCGGGTGAGGGAAAGCCCGTGGTCCGCACGGAAAGACCAGAACCGCGAGCCAGGGAACTTTTCCCTCCCCTCCCCCCTCGCCACAGATACTTCAACTTCGCTTCATACGTAAGCCTTTAGGATCCGGATTTTGAAAGCCAGAATGATTTACCAGATATGTCTGTCAAACTTTTCCTTCTTTCGCTCGTCCAGAGACGACAGCGAGCCGCGCAAAGCGCAGGACTGCACTTGAAACGCGTCCTACCCTGGGCGCGCCGCCCCTGGGAGCCGTGCTCGGCGGGGACTCCGCTGCCTGCGCTCCTCACGGCTCCCGGGCGGCCGCCCTCGCTCAGTCCGTCTGTTCCTGGACTTGGCCGCCAAGATCGCAGGCTGCAGCGGCGGTTCCGCCCGGGGGCCGGATGCGGCTGGGGCTGCGGAGAGCGCTGCGCACCCTCGCCGCCCTGGCACCCGCAGAAAGGGAGGCGCCGGGCGCCTTCTCCCGCCAGGGTTCGAGCCCGAGCGCCCACCCATAAGCAGCCGCCGTAAACAGTGAGCGCTCCAGAGCGCCGAGAGGCTATTTCCAAGGAGCCCTTCTCGCTCTGCGCTCCCGCAGGCCCGAGTCCCTGGAGAACCACTTTCCTTTCGCGTTCCCAAGGATCCAGGCCCGTGCGGGCATCCTCTCCGCGACCCTCCGCCCCGGAGCGGCGGCGGGAAGCATCCCCCTCTTGGCTGCCCACCTCGGCCCCACTCCCAGCTGCGCTCCTCGCCACCTCAGCCCCCAGGGCCGTCTTCGGGGAGGCGCCCCCCTCCCGCAGCCGTCTCGGCGGCTCGGCTCCTTACCTGTCTGACTGAGCTCCCGCAGGGCCTTCTCCAGACGCGCAGCCTCCGGAGACGGCTCCTCTGCCGACCCCGCGCCCCACTGGCTCCGCGACCCTTCCGCGCCATTCCCGGAGGGCTCGAGGCACCGCAGGGTCATGGGAGAAGGGTCACCGCGGCAAAGACAGGTGGCCGCTCTTACTGAGGTCAGAGAGGAGCTCGCGTCCTTCCTGGAAGTCAGTGGGAACCCCAAAACAAGTCCCTGCGGGGTGGCCGAAATGGTGGCGGAGGGGATGGGGAGCTCCCGGTTCTTTCTCCCCAGGACCCGGCGGACGGATGGCAAAGTCCCCCACAGACGCGGTCACCCACAGATCGCCTGCAAAGAGAAAGTGGGGGGTTGGGCCAGTCCGAACTGGACCCCTGCAGCTGGGGTGGGGACACAGACGTGGAAAATCCTGCGGACTCCTCCGCCTCTCTACTCCTGCACCATTAACCCCAAGCATCCAGTTACCGCCCTGGCCCAGCTCTAGAAAAAGGAGGCTAAAGCGGGAGCAGAGATCCAAAGCGCAAGAGTTGGCGGGGGGGTGCGAGGGGAGGGACAGGATGAGGGTGAACGTGGTGTCTTCCCGCCCAGGGCTGTGAGCTGAAATCACAAACTGGCAACCTAGGAAGAGCAAATAGTCACCTGCGGGTACAGTGGGAATAGGCCCTTGTCAAGGACGGTAGAAAAATTTTTAAAGGAAGGAACAGGAGAGATCCCCAAATTTGCAGCCCACCTCATAAGCCGCGCGGCCGGAGGGCCCCCAGGAGGAAGAACTGGACCCAAACTTGGTTCCCCGCCCTAAAACGCCGCGGGTCTCCTGGGGCACGAGCCGCCAGCCCGGGGGGAGGAGGCGCTGCGACCCGGGAGGCTGCCTCGCTCCCCTCCCCCCGCTTCTCGATGCCCGCTCGGGACAGGGTGGGGGCGCCGCGGCGGTAGCTCCCGGACCAAGACCGCTGCCGCTGCTGTTGCCGCCGCGGGCGCTGTCGAGGAATCGGCCCGAGCGCGGAAGCCCTCGCTGGGGCTCGCGGCCGGGGCCGGGGCCGGGCGGGCGGCAG